GGGCTTACAGCTTGAGGGATTTTGTGGGACACTCGATCAGAACATCAATCAATACAACACAATCTGGCCTTGTGACATGATCCAGTAGTGCTGTGAATTCCGCGTGGGCGTGAATCCAGTGGCTAGCTCACTTCGAGCTCCATTCCAACCGCCATTCCAACCATGCTTCCCAGCACAAGCGTTGTCGTTATCATTCGTAGGGGAACCTTTCAAGTCTACCAATGGAAGTATGACCTCATGTAGACGCATATCTCCTGTCATGCGAGGTGAAGCCTATTGAGCACTCGATGAGGAAAGAGATTCGAAGTCACGCTAAGAATCTAAGCTTTGCAACGGCGCATCATCTTCCTAACCTAATCGCCGATCTACCAGCTTGTCTACATATACTCACAGGCCAATCCCTTCATCTGGTGGTTCAAAGCATCGACACTCCAATTCCTTCTATCATTTCCCTTCTTTTCTAGAGTATACTACGCTCCGGGGGCCAGATACCAGACGCCAAAAAGCCTTGTTAAGCCGGTAATGACACAGCCTAAAGGTATAAACATCGACACTAGCCAGCATGGAATCCACGGCAGATCTTGGCTGCTACATCGAAGACTTTCATTTTCAGGAATCTTATTCGATCCATCAACGAATATTTGATCAAGGGATTACACATAGTCGACCTCGACTTGAGCAAAACCGCAGAAACCGCATTCTGTTGTATCCTGGGTCGTTCAATCCTCCGCACAAAGCACACCAGGAACTACTCTACCAGGCCTTTGCCAGAAGCAACGATCTCAACGTGATTGCTGCCATCGTGATCCTATTAGATGATGAGGCTGTAGCACAGAAGTGCCGAGGCAGCCGTGTTTTCAACAAGGATCAGAGGGTACGTTTATGGCGAGGAGAACATGCTCGGCATGACTGGCTTTGGGTATATGATCGCAGCGTGAAGGAATGGGATTCCTTTCGACAGCGTCTTACCCTTGCAGTCAGTCGGGACGGGTTTGACATAGGATTTACAGTTCTATTCGGCCCAGACCTTATACGGCGTAATTCTCACCCTCGTTGGGGGGCTTGGGATTGTAATGAGATTCTTGTTGGGGATGCTGGACGAGTTGCTAACTTTACCTCTTCACACGGAAGATTGCTCCGGGTAGAGGGCTGTGAAGACTGGGAAGCCGTTCTCGAAAATAAAGACCAAACACACCAGCGAGCTTTGCGCACGGTAGCATGGTGTCATACTGGGTTATATATGCTTGGGGGGGAAAAGACGATGAGCTGCGCTCTACAGAATGGTGAGCAGTCGCCTAAAGCTTCTCGACCCACGCTCATTAACTTTGTAGATCCGTATATGTTCGGAAGACTTTTGAAAGAGTGTCTCTTGGAATACTCCGAACAATTAGAGGGCGTGAAAGTGTGTCGTCGCAAACAGGCGCCGAAGCAATGGATCCGTTTCATTCCTACCAAGGGGGGCACGATGAATATCAGCTCGACCAGAATCCGGCATTTGATAGCCACTTGCCCGAGGGAGAAGCTCTACAAAAACCTCCGATCTCTTGCACTTCATCCAGAGATGCTGGTTCGCTTGATCTATCAGAGAAATGATTTGAACTGAGAAAGCTGGTGCGTTCTAAGCGTTGCATGTTGTAACGGCTACGCCTAAGCAGCTGCGTCATGGGCAAAAGGTCAGGCATTGATCGAATGACGAGCGATCAATACAGACGTAATAGCTGCCTATAGGGGCTTACGGGGGACTGAACCGTAACAGTCGGCCTCTATATCGGTAGTATTTAACAGGTTTATATACGGTTTATTTGTACTAAGCGTTTCATAATATGTGATTAGGATTTGTGTATGTCATCTAACGTTGGAATGTTGATTGGTGTCATAGGAATGGAGGCACGTGTGCGATACCCTGTGGTGGAATGATACCCAGGATTGGTTCTTCTCGTCACTTACCGGCCTATGATTCATCTCTCACTCTCTCCTCGAATCGCTTCTAATCATTTTTGGCTCGCGAACGGTCACCTGTCCAGTGTTCCGGATAAGGCAATTTGAGGCTCGACTCAGGAGCATTCGCAGTCGACGGACATTCTAGGCGACGCACTTCGTCTGTTTGTGCCGCAGACGCAGACGCAGACGCAGACACCGCGAGGCAAGACACAAAACCCCGAAGCACCGGCTCGATGCACGACGGGAGAGTGCCGATGGAGGGCGCCGAAACAGAAACATCGGGGTCGACTCGCCTCGAGCCGACTCGGAAGACATGGCAACACAGTCGATGAACTCTTCGGCCAGCACACCGACCGTGTCCATACCAGTCGACCAGTCGACCAGCCTGAGCTCGTCGCCGAGCGAAAACAGATCCAGAAGATCTGACTTATCTCACGCGACACAAACGGAACGCACGTCTACAGGGCCCTCAAAGTCCGCGACACGGTCTGCAGGAAGCAAGTGGTCGAATAGTGCAAAAGCAAAGGCTGGCAGTTCAAGTGGCGGCAGCGGCCTGCCCTTCGGGCCACCCATCACTAAGGCTACCCTATCGGATCTCGACGTGGTGCGCATTGTGCAAAACTCGAAATTGCGCCATGATATCAACTTTGATCCCGACTTGCACTTTCGACCTATCAACCTGAGCGACAAGGGGAAGGCGAAGCAGGAGCGCTCCCAGGGCTTTTGGAAGTCTCTAACAGAGCAGCTGGGTATGTTCGTCGACGAGAACAGGCGGCTCGAGTTCATGAGCCGCTACGCACGCAGCCATGAATGGTGCCTACCTGTGCTCTTGCGGACGATCAAGGACATTGTCGAGACGCTCGTACCGAAGCGATCTCGCGATCTCATAGACGAGGCTTTCAATGTGGAACTGCTGATGCAGGAATTCTACAAAGGTGTGCTAGACTCGGAGAGGTTGGCCGAGTGGCTGGCTGGAGTGCTCAAGACTCACTGTGCCCCTATGCGTGACAACGAGGTCAATAACATGGTCGCACGCTTTCGCGTCGGCAGCCGCGAGGGAAATCTAGAGCAACTGGTCATGGGCATGCGAGAGCTTTTGAGCGTGCTCGAGAACATGAAGCTCGACGTGGCCAACCACCAGATCTGCCGCCTCCGCCCGGCGCTCATCCAAGAAACGACCCACTATGAGAAGCGCAACTTTAGCAAGAAGATCGCCACCCGCCGGCTCGACATTGCGCGCTCGAGGCTCTGGTACCATCGCGCACAGAGACAATACGCCCAGGAGCCTGCTGAAGGCTTTGGTGAGATGTCCGTCTTCTTCCGTGCCGTCGCGGGCTTCGTGCGACCTTCTCGCGCACGAGGGGGGGATGCCATCCTGCCTGAGACTTTTCTCCACGACAACAAACGACTTTTGCGCATGCGCAGCGACGTTCTCGACGCCGTGAAGATTGATGTTTGCATGCATCTTTACGACAATCTCATAGGGGCCGCAAAGGCTGATGCGTGTTTCCCCACAGACATGGACAACAGGTCAAGCGTGTCGTCCGTCAGCTCCGTGGGCAGCGTAGATAGCGACGGCTTTTCGTATCTTCCTTTCCACAACACGGTAGTCCGCCCGAGCCGCATGGCACTTAGCACCGACGGCCAGTCCCCACGTTCGTCCCTCGGCGTCTTCACACTTGACTCGACGCCTCCCCAACTGTCCTTCGTTAGCAAGCGCGAAGCCAAGATGAAGGCAGGTAAACTCTACTCATCTTTGGTTGCCATCTTCCAGTCGACGTCCACTAACATGGGCCAAGCCAAGCGCTGGGCGGAGGCTACCTCCTTCATGGCTGTGGAGATCTTGCGCGCCGCTGACGCCCCTTCCTACATGCTCGCCATGGTCGAGTCGAAACTCGGCGAGGTCCTCTCTAACCCCAACAATGGACTCTTCTTAGGTGTGGAAGCCAAGTACCACCATCGTCTTGTGGAGGACCTCAGCAACCGCGTTCGTGAATACAAGGGTCTAGATGGAATGAGCCTATACACGGCCGCCGTCGACAAGAGAACTCCCCCCAATTGCAAACTGCCCCGCGGCTTTGACGAGTGCCTTCAGGGCGGCAGGGAAAATGGGATCAGTGATGTGGCTATTAGACTTGCACACGTCGGCATTCTGCACTGGAGGGTCTGGGCGGACCTGGCGTACTGATCGAGTAACAGAACACAGACATGCTTCAATCGGGTTGCGGGTACCAGGAGCACCTGATGGGTCAGGGGAACAACTGCTTTTGACCTCGACTACTATGCTTCCGCCCCGTCCGACCTTTTACGCCTTTGCAAGCTGCCGAAATCTGGGAAGCCAAATGAAGAGAGGGGTGATCGGTAAAACTGAGCACTGGACACTAAGCCAGACTGTTTCAGCCACGTGTATACATGTGACCCGCGACAAGCAGGACGTTTATAGCAGTGATAGACAGGCGTACGTCCATGGGCTCGGGAATTATTATTTGCGCTCGCATGATAGCTGGCGGGAGGAATGGTGGCGGCAATGTAATAGTAGCCGACCAAAACATCTGTCCGTGCGTGGGGTGCTGTGGCGAACATCACATTTCCTTGCACCATGCCCAATATTGTTGGCGGTGCGAGGCATCTAGACATGTCATAAGCTTCATTCGCTGTCGTGGTTGTTGCCGTGTAGTTTGCCTTCAGTCAAATCGTCGCGGACGGCGGCGCGCGAGGTTGAATATGATTCATCAGGCTCCGTCGCATAAACGGTGATTTCCGCTATACAGCATCGATCCCAACCTTTTGCAGGAAAAGCACAGGCGTTTCATCTTCATCATGGAGTTTCTGGCCGAGCCACATACTGAGCAACTCTCCCATGTCGAGAGAAACAGAACGAAGCCATCGCCGTCGATACTATAATATGCTCGGATCATCTTGCGTGGTGAGGGACGGTTCAGCCCGATGCCTATGCTTTACAGCAGACCAGGAACCTCGGGCGTGTTTTGTATGCACTATATTGCAGTGCAATTTGCCAGCCATTTGTTGCGCTCCGAAGTCATGAATCTTTGTGCGTCCCTAAGAGAGCGGGATAGACTGGCAGCGGCATCGGCCGTTTTTCCAAGCAACTGGTACACCGTGGCCCATGACGAACGCACAGCATTTCGCTGGTGCTGAAGCGCGTCTCGTTCGCTTTCAAGTGTTCGTATCGCTTCGGCATAATCATTGTTTGCGCTCCCGAGAAGCTGCCGTGCGATCTCTTCCAGTTCAAAAGCGTCAGAGAACACACTAGAAACAGGACGCATCGGATGAGGAGTGCGACGATAGCAGTCGCAGGGAAGGAACGCTGCCAGAAGAACCCCTGAGTTGATATAGCGGCCGATCTGTTTGTGGCCCGAAGAGGTCATAATGCGCATCGTCCCATGCTATTCAGGACGTACAGATTCTAGCGTTCGGCCAGAAGCTAACGATTGGACGGTGATCGCTCGGCCACCCTTCCTACCCAACGTGCTCATAGGATGCACCTTGGAATGCGCACGCCAATATTGTTTGGCACCCGAGGACGAACTGCTGTGCGCACGAAGACTCGTGTTACTGAACTGAACTGAACTGTATTCCTACTCGGTTGTAGCCGCTAATCCCACTTCGCCAGTGCAATGTAAACAAAGCCCCGACCAGCTGCCCCCAGAAATCCCGCTTTGCTCCTCAACCTCAATCTACCCGTGTCTAGTTCCCTCGTGTAGAGCGTGGTTCTTTACTCATATGCAGTCTATCTAGGCTCTGTCGAAGCGACTCGCCTCATATCTTGGGTCTGCGTACCTACAGTCTCCCCCCAATGCCTAGCTTTGTCTGGTTTGGGACTCGATCCTAAAATGCCCAAGGATCCCCGTCAGTTCCATGAACTTGATGGCTTTTGCGGCTGCCTTGGGTTAGTGAATCGTATGGTTTCCAACTTCTAGTATAGGAGTCTGACACAGGTTAAGCAAGGTAATCCTGCGACCGCCAGTCATTGTGCCACAGCTCAGTTCGCAGTGAGGCATGTACTATTGTAGAGGCCGTTTTCTTGAGGCGGACGAGGAGCCCGTCTGGAGCACATGTCGGAGGCTATCGATTTGACACGGCATATTTCAGGCAAAGACGGCTCGTACGGCATAATTTCAAGGAATGACACATATTATACCTGTCCGGGCGACGAGTTCCCCAAAGGCGGTGGTGTTGGAGTAGCGGCGGCGTGGACCAGATATTGGCAGCGCCATCTTCCATCCATTGCTCGTCCTGCCGTGTATGGCCACTTGGCGCTATGCTAACCATTGCATTGAGGACATACTGTAGTACAGAACGTGGAACCAATAATATCGAGCACCTCTCCGATGCTAAGGCCTACTGTACATGGAAATAAAAGCACGCGGTAGCTATCGTAGTGAATAGTCGGGGGCACAGCCACTTGTTCATTTGTGGTCGGATACACTAGCAATCTACTTCCAGCCGGCGAGGGCAAAGGCACATCATATAAGTAAACGCTGCTGCTTGAATTCGTGCTTTTGGCACGTCATAGCACTCTTCTGCGCTCGTTGACGTGGCAAACGTGTAAACGTGTTCTGATGGAAGTCCTCGCGCCGCAGCAACATCACCGCGGGCGCCACGTTCGGACGCCGTGGTCGCCCGAGGTCGTTATTCTAGAAGTCCTATTGACCATTCGGGTGTCCAGCTATATATTCCACGGCGTTCGGGCCGAGGCTGTGCATCAGCTCTGGGATTGGGTGGATGTGGAGAGTCTCCTATGGGTTTTGGACACCGGCATAGAGTTGACACTGTGGCGAGACTTTGAGGCTCGCCCGCGCATCAGCAACATGGACTCAACCCATCGCATCGAAGCCATCCTCGGGATCCACCAGTCGGCGGGTAGTAACGTGTACCTAGGCGTGAAGTGGAGAGACTACGGCTGTCCCACGTGGGAGCTCGAAGATGAAATACCCCTGCTTCATCTCGCAGGCATGCCCGCACCGGTTACTCTATAGGGCGTAAAGAACAGGGCGGAATGGCTGGACGTCCTCGGAGACATATCATAGCTCCACAGCTTGTTCGGCACATCCGCGTTGGCTGCCAGAATTTGGCCGTCGGGGCATCATGGGGTACTCGGAGCATCGCGCGTCTAGCGGAGTCGTTGTAGACACCAACCACTGAAATTTTTCTTAGTCCTCTCATGATTTCGAAACCCATGCTTTCCTCACCGCCTCCGATACCCTACCGTGGCGGCATGGCAGGCGTGCATTGCTCCTAGATTACGTTAGGATGGTTGTTTAAGTCGGCCCTGAGTCTAGTCTCATGGTAAGTTGCGCTCAAACCGCGCCTATTGGCCTTCAAAGCACATAAAGCTAGCGAGATTCGCGGCTGTTCGAGCATGACGCAAAGCTACCGGCATGATTATCATTCTTGTCTATTTGCAAAGCATGCTCGA